TCTAATACCAGAATATATGCGGAAATATTCTCTTAAAGATAAATCACGTAGAAATACTTTAGCGAGGATATATAAAGTAATGGCTATCCCGTGTCTGTTGTTTGGAAGTGAATGTTAGACTCAGGGAGAAAGATGAACAGGTGTATAGTCTGTTAAATGAATTCTTGAGATCTGTAAAAACAGACAATTACCAGACTAGATCAACTGCGAAATGAGGAAATTCGAAAAAAATTAAACGTTCAAGCTATCAATGACAAGGTACAATACTTCAGACAGGAATGGTTACAACATGTGGAAAGAATGGAAGAGACTCGCATTCCAAAGCAGGTGTTTAAGTGTAGGCCTCAAGGCAGAAGAGACCCAGGTAGAACCCTAAAAAGATGGAATTCTTAGAAACCGGAACAGATCATAGACCTGTCCTTGAAGTGGAGAAGAAGTATATTGGTATCTAAAGCAAGCAAGAGCGGTCTCTTTGTCTAATTTGGTCGCAACAGTGCAAGACATCTGAGCGCTTAATTTAGTCGCTATTTATTACAGCATTTTATTTTTAATGCCTATGTAACAATACTAACTTATTAAGTAATATAGCTATTGTATACATAAAGTCTCCAATATGAATTGTAAAATCAGTAATATAAATATGTTAACAAATTCACATTGTGATTCATAATTATCTTTAATACTTACGCAAGGAGAACTAATGGATTATTTATTTATGCATATCACGTGATGATGATGAACAGTATTTGGAAAGTGCATCATTGGACATTAAGAGGAGCGAATGAAGAAGAAAGTAACGAATAAACCTGTAAAAGGAGCTCCGGAGGATGTTTTCCATAATGTTTTCCTGATGTGAGTCAAGATGCGATATGTATAAAAGAGGTAAACTTTCTTATTAATTTTGCTGAATTCGGAAACATGGATTACAGTCGGTGGGTATTGACTGTATTATGTGACCGCGTGGGTTTCCTACTAGCCAATACCTAAAATAATACAATTCCACTATTCCCTTTAGTTTCAGATTAAATCTACCGTGCTATCAAGTGCCTGTGAAAGTAGAAAAAGTTATCTTAAAAACATCTCAAACGTAAGTCCAAGTGGAATGCATTACACGGTCTTTCTCTTCAGAACGAAAGCGACAATCGTCAAGGATTCCATCGTGTTTCACGACCCGTTCCAACTGTCCTTGAATCGGGTCTTCGCCTGTCGAATCGCGGCCTTTCCGCGTGGTGAGAATCCGGAGAGGCTGCCGTGACCCGGGGTTGCGGCTGCACGCGTAGTAGGCGGTCGACGACTCGTGAAAATTGCCGGGAAAATCTCGTCTTGCGGTTGCGGTGAGTCGAGCTGTGGAACGAATCATTTACAGCGGGCGCGGCGTGTGTTGAGCACGTGCTGGGCGATGGTACTGTGCGGAGCGATTGTTCCAAGGGGGATTCGATTGCGGCGAGTTTCGTGCCTGGTAGCGGATGAAGGAAGATCGCTCGCGCATGAACGAGGAAATTGAACCACTTTCTTCGACTACTCCCTTCCAGCGAAATGAAAAGTGGTACTTTCAATTATTTTTTACATTCAACTTACTTTCTAAAATACGCTATTTTTATTTGAATGCATTACAGTAATTGCGGTACTATGAAGCGATTAACAACCTTGTTTCTGTCGATAGTTCAGTTTCAAGCCGTTTTCATTTACTTACATTTAACATGTTTGCATCTATCTAGCCACGATTTCTATTTCAGTTTTTGATTTGCAAAATTGAAATTACTTTGCCCCTAGATCTTGCGACACTGTTAAGGTATACAGTTATTTATTAAGTGTTATAATGATCAAGCGACGACAAAAAAGTCACCGCTCAATCATTAGAACCAGTTAATGCTCGTTGTACATACGTGACTTTATTTTTTACCTCATTCCAATTATTAATATTTCCTTATTCACTAATTAACTAGTTGTTAACTTGACTCGGTTTGTCATGTCATATTTCTTTCCCATAACACCCTCCTGTAAGAGAACAATTAGCAACATTCAACTGTTTTCATATATCACTCGTCACCACGATCCTCTCGAGCTCCATATCGAAGGCAATAACAAGCCAATAACGTATCATATAAAAAATGAATAATTAAACAAGTTTTATCCTGAGGTAAAATAAGTTAGGTTTATTTATCAGTCAAAAGCCAAAAAAAAAAAATAAAGAGAGAGACTCTATCTTACGTATGTGTGAGAATTATTATCTGCGCACATTTTAGTGATCTCTAAAATCCCTACCTCGCTCATTTATCTTGGCGTAAAGACCATTATTTTTCTGTATGTATGTGAATTATGAATGAAGGCATCAACGATGTGTGGTTAGCAGCATTTGAAACGAAGACATTTTAACTTGTGATGAATAGAAAACGTATTTACATCGTCAGATTGTAGATTTGATTTAACAGAAAAACTAAAATAATTAAAATGGAAATTAATTTTCCCTTATTTCATTTCAGTCTTAGTAAGAAACATACTTCCTCCATCTCCACCGTTCTCCATTTTAAAATTAATAAAAAAGAAGACAATTAGTGAATTTCAAATTCTAGCTCAAGACAAAATCATAGGTCATTCGTTACGTATAAAGAATGCTTACTGTCACCAAGTATCGAAAATATGTTACCGTTTACTATCACTTTACAATGAGTCATTCTAATGTTTTCTGTGTGCAGTGAGCACTTGGATGCATTACACGGACTTGGCAGAAGTGGTGACTTACACCATTCTCAACCCTCAAAATTCCAAAGAAGTCGAATGATATATTTAATCTCTGCAGCGACATTGTATAAATAATTATCGCATTGCGCAATAAAAACACAAATTTAATTTAATTTGAATAGTGCGTAGAAATGATGTATGAATATAAATTTTCAGTAATGTATGTACCGGGTTTACAGAGACGCTTGACCATCGAACATTTTATCTAAATAAATCTGTTTATTCTTAGACAATTGATTGTTATAACGTATTTTCACATTATTAAAATATTTAATTCACATTTTGTGCAAATACTATGTTAATGAAGGACAATATTGAAATTAGATATCGGTATAAAAAGCAATAGAATAAAATTACGTATGTTGTCAAATAATGACGTCAATATAAGCATTCGATGACTTCTATTTAATAGAAACCAAATTGTAATTCGGAAGTGCTGGCACTAAATTCTGTCAATAATGTTTACATTTTCTACCGAAGTACACAAGTATCAATTATTTTCATAATCAAAGAAAAATAATTCATTAACAAAACTCCATTTAATTGTATGAAACGAAATTCTGGTTGGAAAGAAAAACAACAACAAAACAGGCAGCATACAACATTTCTTACAGGATTTCTACAAATTGCTTACGGCGGTGTGGTGAAGTTTTATTAGCACACTAGTGCAAACGCGTTTATTAGCTTTATTGCAATCTACTACATGGGATTAACAGTCACACGGAATTTTGCCAATTACTGGGACAATATATTTTTAATATAACACTTTCGTACGTAATTTTACCACATTATATAACAGCGGAGATATATGTGCTCCACAACAGAGATGTGGAGCACATATATCTAGTCGCCTTCTATCACACGTACGTGATAATAGGTTGGCGATACTAAAATCCCCTTACTTTTAATGGAGGCAAGCCATAATATATTGTAATTTTCTGAAAATAAAAATTATTTTCGAAATTAAAAGCAGTATCTTCTAGTCTATGGCACTCCTTGTGCGATATGAAGTAATTTTGACTTACCCCGTCAAAGTGAATATTGAGCGTTAGGTGAAAAAAATGTTAAGAAGGATACTCAACAAAAGAAATTAGCCTGCTTTGTGTGTGCGTAGTCGAGTAAATACAATGGAAACGTCATGTGAACAACTGTTACGTGTTAAAACCGTAAAAGGTATTTCGAAGGTGAGATTCTTGTCAATAGTATTGTTTTTTATACACATCATTATGTTAATGTTGAACCGACATAAAAAATCGTGATTTGTACTCTCTATGAGACATTCATCATACCTACTAGCATTTTAAAAAATCAGAACTTCTTCCTTTCGAAGTCTAGTATTCTAAAACTTTCCCGTCTTGACGCCCTACATTCTGAGACCGCGGCAGAACGAAACTGTTACAAAGAGGCTAAAAACAGATTCGATTTCAATCGTAAGGGTTCTTCAAGAAGAACTAAACAATGATCAGTGGAGAAAGGCGTATTACCATTGTCTTATTGCTTTCATCGGCGCCTGCCGAGTCCATGGATATCAGATATTGAGCTGGACAAAAATGTTAATGCTTCTAATTTTGAAAGTAAGCTGTTTTCAAGTAATTTTGAAAAGAGTAATTTTTGAAAATTTTCCATGTTTACGCAATCAAAATTTTGAAATTTATTACGAACAGTTTCCATTTGAGGAATTTTCTTGATCATTTTGTAGAAAAAAGAACAAAAGATCACAATACATTTCTAATCATCCCCCTGTAATTAAAAGAGAGAAATTTGTAAACACCGTAGCGATTTGCATTTCTTGCTACACTCAGTTGTTAACTGTGTTATGACGATAAATACTTAAACAGATCGTTACTTAAGTTTTATTGTCTAATACCTAAAATATATCAACATCAGTGAAAATATTGTTTTGTAACGTATGTCAATACGTTAATACAACGTATGTCAAAATGCATGCAATATCGTTTAAGTCACTAAGTCACATGAGTACCTTTTTGAACCTTAATTTGTTGAAACAAAAAATATCTTTGTCTTTGTTTTTTCGAGACTGGCATAATTAATTTTAATGGTGTAAACTTTAAAAGTGCGTTTTATATGGATTGTTTTTCAGATTTTCATTGAAAATTAAAGCCAAAAGAAAATGAATGTTTTCGTATTCTCTATTTTCTATTTAAAGAAGGAAACATTTCAATTCACACAGCTACATTGGACCATCGCTCACCGAACATTGTCACTTCACCATTCGGTATACTACCGCACATCGCTTATCACTCGCGATTCACTTCCCTCGCACTGGCGCTTGCTCGAACAGGAGCGACGCATACCCTACCGTATTGGCGTAACAAGTCCCGTTATTGCACTCCCCAGCGCATGAAGCACGCGTATCGCCATTTCCCCTCCCGCGCGCATCAACACGCGTGACGCGTCTCCTGGACTGCCGCACTCGCCATCGCGTGGCCGCGCCGTGAGCTCGCGCGCGGCGCGCTGCGTGTCCTACCAGCAGGATGAGCCTCATGTCGTGCGTCCGGAGCGTCGCCTGGCGTGGACGCTGGAAGGCGGGTGGAGCGTCGGCAACGAGTCGGCGCGGGCGCGGCGCGGCTTTTATAGCGCCGGCGCTTCTCTCTCGGCGCCGCGGGGCGGGCGGCGGCCGGCGGGGGCGGCCTGGCGCGGGAAAGTCCCTGCCTCGCACAGCGCCGGCGCGCCGCCGGCCCGCCAGGGCGCGCCCCCGCCCAAAAACCGCCTCCCGCGGAAAAGGCGGACGCCCCTTTTTTGCGCTTCCCCACCTTCCCAGACGCAAGAAGCTGGCGGCCCCTGTGTGAATGTCAATTTTCCACGATTTCACGTTCCGGGAGGCGTTTTGCGCCGAAAGGACGCGCTGCTGGAAGGACGTGTGGCTGGTTCCGTTTGGCACTGAATGACGGAGTCAGAAGATTAGACATTACATGGGATTGGAGATGCTTCTTAGTTTGCTTGAAGGGCGAATTATCAATGCTTCACGAATAAGATAGCTCTGATGTATCTAAGATGCGCCCGTAAAATAAACAATTGTATTCAGAAAAAATATTTAATAATATTGTATTACGTATCTCTAAACAGAATGTGTAAATGAAAATGCAATGTTAGCGATGATATACTTCGAGAAGGGCGAGATATACATTATCAGTAATATTGAATTACGAACTATTTTCGAACTAATGAGAATTTATAAATTGAAAATATAACAAGAAGAAAATATAACTAATAAAGCAAGAAAATATCAAAGATAAAACTATTAACATGACCTACACTTTATTAATTTTCTATGTTTTCGAAAATGGGGCCATTCTTTTCTTCATATTTTTGTATGAGTATTTACAGATACTTTATTAAAGCTGATTAAACCTGCAGTGGTCGGGTATCATACTATTGCACATAATCGCGCGGGTTACATACCTATACCCAAGTGAAAATTAGTCTTTTTAACCAGTTATGAGTTTCGTGGAAAACAGTTTAAATAAGTACCCTCCTATCTCAAAGTGTTAACTTGGATATGATGTGAATGAAAGTCATTCAACGTTAATGTATGTCATTTAAATCTACCAGCGTTGACTCCTAAATGAAAATTGGAATAAGTGGCATCTATTAACACACGCAATATTTTATTTCTCCATTGAATTTCATAATGAGTCTCTCATCAACTATACAATGGTATATCTCTGTAGTACACGACTTTGTAAATAGTACTTCATCTCTCTAATCTCCTACTCAAGAAGCATACTTTTTATTATCGATAACTGTAATGCTCGCGCGAGCTACAATTGTAGCCCAATCGTCTTGAAAACGATCTTCTATGAAATAACTTGCATGCTGTGAAAATCTTGGGATGCTAAAAGATAACCTAAAGCTACTGATTGTCTCACCATTCTTAACTCAGGAGGAGTTGCGCGATAGCAAAAATAAAACACTTTAGCTACATGCATAGCTGTACTGGTAACAGGTAATAACTTAATATAATAATAATAATAATAATAATAATAATAATAATAATCTTATGAATGTATAAAATGACGAAATAAAAGGAAATCTCTCATGCGAGCTCATTGTCGGTATATCTCTCATTGGGTATTTCTTGGTCCTAGGATTGAATTTAAAATAGGCGTTACCGTCTGGTTATACAACAAGCGTAACTTTAATTTCTTAATGCATCTTCACATTTTCGCACTTACTTGGTAATAAGAAAAAATATTGTAATCGTGCGCCGGAAAAGGCGAATTTTCGGTAGAAAAACTCTTATTGCTGGGTCCCGGTAACTAAAAATGGATTAATATTGTTCCGATACATAGTAAATTACTTTCTCCAACATGTATTATAGGCAGAAGCCATGTTTTGTGGGACCTTGATGCAGAAAAATCGATTGACGGCAAAACGTGTTTGTCCGTCTGCCTGTGGTGAACGCTAGTGCCTAAACCGTTCAGCCGATTTTCTCCAAAATAGAAATTCCCGGATCGATGTGAACGAACTGTAGGCTTTGGGAGTTTCAAACGGATAAATTGATTTTTGAGGTTACTTTACATGAAGTCTCATCAACATTTTCAAAATTTATCACGAGTCTTAATTGACACTTTAAAACACCGACTAAGTACATTATGTTGCAGACATACATGGATGATATGGCCTCTTTCAATCGTTCATTGCATGTAACATATGTGTGTATGAGTGTGTGTGTGTGGAGGGGAGGCCTTGTTATCGAACAGGTGAAGGTGACTAACGATTTTTTTTATATCAGAAAAATTTATTTTCTTGTGAAAGTTACCTTTTAGGTTTTTCATTCTTATAACTCCATTTCATTTTCAAGGCTTGATCGATATGTTTCCAGGTGACGTTTGTAATGTGTTGAATATTGTATGTGCTCTTTCTTTGGCTGAAGGTCAACTAGGGATGTGCGTCTTCTTGTATTTCTTGTTCAAGTAATCCAAGTAATGATAACATGTTTACCCGCACTGGATATGTCATCATTCTAATCATCTCAAGGAAACTTCTTACAGCATTATTAAAAAGCAGTTAGGGATTTTGTAAAAACTAAAATGTTAGTATATTGATGTATGTAGTAAGTCGGAGTACCCTTTTCAGCGGCAACATTAGGCGTAAAGCTGAAGGAATTAATTAAGTTTCATTTAGAGTATCTGTAGCAACCGTTTCGTGAGTATTTTTAATTTCGTGTAGACGTACGAATGCATAGTACCGTAACACGGTAAGGCTTTGTGCCACTTTGAGAAGATTTTCGTAAATAACTTAATTATTTTTCACGTAATTACCGAAGTTATAGTAGTATACGATATTTAAAAGCACGCTTTTTCTATTTTATGTGGTGCAAATTACTGAAATAAATGTATTTGAACAAAAAATGTTTTGTAAATTTGGTATTAAGTCACCTCATTGGATAGGGTGACTTTATGCCCCTACATATACATTGCGCGTCTTTCAATGCTGCACGATGCGTGGCACAATTTATCTCCGCCTTCATGATCGATTTGTTGCAAGAAATGAAATAAACAGTATCACAAAGTTTAAAACCTTATTTAATAAATATTTTTTAAAGTTATTACGTAAACATTTTGGCATTGGTAAAAACAGAAATCGTGTCATTTTCCCTAAATGCTTTCTAGCTCTGGAATAGCGAAGAATATGGACCTTTCGTGAGCTACTACCCCACACAATTGCCGGATCTAGCAGGGAGCACAAATCCCTGGATTTTGGTCCCAACTATGGCTTTTCGCCTTTATCTGCACCGCGCAGGCGCATATGCCGACAGGCTGGTATCCGGATCCCGCCGGAACGCAGTTTGCCCTCACGGAAACGACCCTATTCAATGCCTGGGTTGGGAACGCCCTGCCTGCTCAGAGCTAGTATCTATCCAGGCTAGTATGGGAGTCCAAACAATGCGCTACTCAGGTGCGCCGGTAACAAGTCCCTCCTCTTTGCCCGGAGTATCGGGCCTCTGCCACGGCGTAGCCAAGAGCCCATCAGAGGGGCACTCGAGCTAAGGTCCGGGCGACTCGGGGCTTCCTTCCCGTCACCTCACTGCCTCCACTTTGAAGCTATTGCCGTGACTACTGACAGAACCTAGGCAACCTGATGGGGGTATCTGGTCTCCGTCGAACTTCTATGCGTCCTTCTATACCGGAACATTCCGAAAAACATTCTTTGCCCAATCCTGCCAAAATATCGACGAACCAGTAGTCCAACTGGTGGATTACCGGCTAGAGCTCGGCAACATGGAGCCTCATCGACACGGAGCCACTCACTTACACATCGCCTACTCACTGCCTCCACCTTGAAGCTAACGGCGTGAGAGTCACAGTGAAACTCAGAGTCCGGGTGGTCGTCTACAGCTCTCCACCAGAAATTGCGCCTACCTACTAAGACGCGGTTCCCTCCTGCATTCTTAAAAAAATGATTTGCATTCTTATTCTGCGACCATTTACAAAAGTCCTTGGATTCCGGCAAGACATTTAACCGTGCTGAATCACTTTTGTTGGCAGAGACTTGTCCTAGAAATACTTTTTCTTCACGAACATATTTCAAATTATCCTACTGTATTGGATTGAGAAGATTATGAATTGCTCTTACAGGAGGAATCACAACTACATTAGTTATTAATGATACAATTTCCTGCTTTCACGAGAAACAAAATGGCCTATTTAAATTTATTACTATCTTTGAAAAAGATGCTTTGGAGGGTTATGCAAGTTGAATAATATGGAACTCTTATCTCCCAACAAAACAAGACATTCTCTTATTAAATATATATTTGGAATTGCCGTTTGATCGACTGAGCCGCGGTTATCCGATCAGGAGCTTCAGTGTAAAAAAATATAGTCGTAACCAAGCTCCCGATTGGATAACTGTGTCTCAGCTGATCAAACGTCAATTCTATTTAAGAATTTTAATCGAAGAATAATAAGGTTGCCTCTTCTTTAGTTAATTCGTTTTCTAAATTGTGAAGCACTTACGTTGAGTAAAACTGTTGCTATAAACATGTGTAATATTGTTCGTTAATACAAAGTAGAGGTGCTACAGAATGGCACATACTTTCCCGTGTTAATTTTCTATTTCCTTTGGTGTCGGCTAGCCATTCGGACTTGTCCCATACGCTTGCTAACTGCCATCTATCACCGCCCAAAGAACATTTTTTTGAAAATTTCTTAATTTTTCGGTTTTCTAATAATAAAATGGAAATATTATTTTATAAATATTACAGAACAGTAAAACATCGTCATAAATTGCAATTTTCTTTGAAAAAATTGTAACCGTTTTTAAGAAAATGGCGCCAAGCGCTACTGTAAATTCGAAATTTGAAGCTCTTTTTCACAGAAAATTTTTGAGTATTCGAAAAAATGTATTAGTACTCATTTGAAGCATTTTAACTGATAAATACAATGATGTTTACAAATTGCCCGAAATGCGCATATTTATCTTTCGAAAAATTACATAATTTTTTTGAAAAAACAAAGTTTTTTGAAAATACATTTTAGAAATAACACAAAATACCCTAAAATTAACATTTACGTCAAATTAAAGAGTGCAATTAGCACTATCCATTCGAAAAGTATGAAGAAAACATTTGGAGACCATTGTGAGAAAATAGAATTTGAGCGTTGCGAATTTTGAGCTAGTTTTCACGGAAAACTGTTGAGAAAATGTTATATGCCATTATTTAAAGCACATGTACTCGTAAATATAATATTGTGATGCAATTTACGCGAATGTAAGTATTAACGACTTGAAAGGTTAGTCAGAAAATAACGTTTTTCAAATTTTTGAAAAAAACAAAAGAATAGAGCAATATTGTGTTTGTATCATCTCAAAGAGTGCTTTTAGTACTATCCCTACCAAAAGTTTAAAGAAAAAAACTGGAGACTTTTTGAGAAAACGTTTTTTTATAAATTGCACATATTGCTCACAAAATTGCGCAAATATTAACATTTTTTAAACAATGTACAGCACGTTAAAAAAGAACTAATTATGAACAACAAATTTCATTTGAAAGTAAAATCTCTATTTTCAATTTTGTAGTTGTAGGAAGACAGAAAAAATTCAAATGTTTGAAATTTTCGAAAATTGAGTTAGCTGTGAAAATCAGACATATGACACATTTATAGGTGTATTTCATTTTATTTTTTCAAGAAATGTGAAGAAAAAATTTGGAGCCATTTTTGAGAAACTATAAACGAAGACGGACAGACAGACGTACAGTAGGACGTTTTGAAAAAAAATTCTTTTTTCTGTATCAGGGGACCCCAAAACGTCTTTTTTCCATTGAAATCCCGAAATAGATTTTCCGCAGCATTACAAAACGTGCCCTATACTACGTATAAGTATACTCCATACGTATAAGAAAAGTAAAAAGATTTTTTCATTAAAATTTCTGTACGGATAGTGTTAACTGCACTGAATAACTTGTGATTGACACCATTTTCATATTTTCAAAAATATTACTCATGTAATTATTTAAAACATATCTCAATTTCTTAATATTTGCATTAGCGGCGTTTTTAAATTGCATTATGGTAGTTAATTGCATTATTGTACTTGTTAGTATAAGAGCTTCAAATGATTTCTTATGAAGTTTCTGGAAAACTCGAAATTTTTCTGTGACAGTGAACTCACATTTGCGCAGTTTTAGAAATACTCTAACGATATTTTCTGAAGAACGAGTAGAAATTTTTCAATTAAAATTTGGGTCAGGTTTCACTCTCTTATAATATTCTATACATTTGAATGTTTCAGTAAGATGAACAGGAAGTTGTCTATGTGTTGTAAGTATTAAATGAAATAATTAAATTATCTATTTAAGACAACTTAAACCTTATTTAAATATATAACTGATTTTATTAGATCTCAATCGGTCATTACATAAATCTTTTCCTTACAACGTTTCGGAATCTAATTTTTTACATCATCAGGCTACATCACCATATAGTTCCATCGTGCACATAATACGTATACGCGTAATAAAATTACAATACTACAATAACACATCAAAAACACTCATCTAACGACGTCCATTACTTCTTACAACTTCAACATGAGGGTACCCTGCCTCTGACTCAGGGAGCTGTGGCAGTGAGTGGTGGCAGGGTACTCTTCAAGTTTAAGTTGTCCAACTATCGTCTGCGTTGTCCACCTACCGCCCAGCTATCCGTTCATCTCTCTCTAGCACCTAAACTACTCAAAGGACGTTTTGCAACATGAATATTTCCCGATCGGTCGGGCCGGACTCAATGCACTATGATTTTGAAAAGAATTCTTGAAATTTGGGTACTTCAAACGAAGCCGCTAGGACATTTTAAATATCCGCGAAGTGCTGATTTCCATACCCCAGAGAAGCGGTAGTTACCTTGAATTGCCTTGGTAGTATTTTAGACGCCGAAGAGAATAGGAAATTAAGTAGTACGAGAAAGTCAGTGCGATTCTGAAGCACTAATAGTTTTTTTTATTATTTTCCTTTTCTCATCTTACTCTTAAAAGGACTGTAAAGCATCTCAACCCATTCGTCTACGTCATGGAGCTATTATTCTCGGTGATTATTGCAATGGGCAAGTATTGTTCCAGTTACAAAAAAAGGTAATCGGACAAGAAAAGCTTCAGGTGATCATTGTGTTTTTTTGGGCTGAACGCCGGAATTCGTGTTGAATCAGAATAGAAAGACTTATTGATGCGGCACCTAAATGTAGGTCGCCGTACCTCAAGGAACCACCCTCTGAATTGCTACTTTTTTATTATTACCTGTAAGTATCAGATAATCGGAGAATTGAATACAAAAACATTGTTAGCAACGTAAATATTTAAAAAAAATATTTTTGTCGATTTTAATATGTTAACAATTATAAACAACATTTACATTTATTTATTTTGATAGGGAGACACCTTTTTGTACTAAATTATTTTCAAAGCACCAACTGTTTATAATTATTTTGTTATCCCAAGAAATAACGTTAAAAAAGCAATTGACAAAAATGAAATAACAAAGGTTAACCACCAAATTCACATAAAAGAGGACACAAAAGCTTTATTTTATTTTTAACAAAATGTTCTCTCCATTGTTTTTATTGTGATACTATCAAAAGTGAGTAATAACAAAAGTATTTTTCGTCGAAAAAAGGCAATATTTAATATTTCAATTTTTAGTAAAAAAAACGTCCTAAAAACCTCTTTTGTATTTCTGATACTTGTAAGTATTTCCTTTATTGATGGTGGCATCGACAACTGATCGATCATTAGTAAACCTATTTACAATTTACAGTTGCTCAATGTTATGTAAATTCAGTTTACACTTCTGTCTCTACTTGGTGTGACAGCCCGCGAACGGGCCAGACCCTACCAGCAGCGTCCCGATCTTGCGGCCATGGTTTACTTGTGGGTAGCACGAATACATCCCTACGTATTCCGTATTCTGGTCTTCTCAACCTGAGAAGTAAGTTTGCTCATCGTCGCACAACAAGATATATTGGGAAAACGCACACTACCATCTTGCCCGGCCGGAATTTGAACCCGGGGGTCGCGTCATGGAAAGCGAGCACGTTGACCAATCAGCTAAACCGCGAGAGCAGTTTACACTTAACAATTCATTTTAATATATTTCATATAAAGTTACATAAAATTGTATTGTATTGTATTTTATTGTATTGTATTGTATTATGTTATCTATGTATTTGCTTATCATGCTCATATGTTGCATTGTTTTGTATCGTGCTTATTTGCTTATTCTCGTAGGCTACATATTTATGATTTTCAACATGCTTTATCCCAAAAATATATTTTGCATTCTTTTGGACACTGAATCTCTCCCACTCTTCAACATCGTTAGGCGTTCTTCTTTCTTTAGGAGCAGTTATTTATATTTTAATCCAGAACGCTGTTGGTACATTGAGTTTTTGGTTGTGATCAAGTTACTTGTCAGATAGTGAGATTTATTTAAAAGTAGTTCATACACGTAACTTTGATTCATTTTGATTGGCGTAATGTTTTCATTAAATTTACTAAACCATCCTGTAAAAAGATTTTACTTTATCCTTTCTATTTCCCATAACTGCGAAATCACTGTCGCATGTGAGAAAGCTGGATTCACACGAGATATATTTATCGTGCATAAAAAAATTCTACAATAAACGAGAAACAACTAAGTGCGTGATTAGCATATTCTTTTGTCTATATAAAGCCAAATCTGGGCTGGGATGGACTTACGTAGATATTCCACATTCTTTCGTTATAGCACCAGCAACGTCTCTGAACATTCATTTTAGACTAACACAACTTTCGGATCTAGTCCCTATATAACACATTGGACTTGATACGTTGCTTAAAAAAACGGCACGTAGCCCATTTGGAATTTTAGTTTCTTAATGCATGCAATTCAATTTTTTCTATGAATTTGTCTAAATTATTATCATTAAAAATCGACTCTTCATTTTCGTTTGAAATAATTATGATTATATCAACATTGATATTTCTTCCAACCAATAAAATTATATTTTTGAATGGATTAAACGGTTTAATTAAGTCGAAGAGATAATAATAATAATAATAATAATAATAATAATAATAATAATAATAATTCGCGTGGAAGAGCTCATTTTCTATAAAATAACACTGAGCAAATGTAAAATAGCACATAGTAATGTACGTAATAAAAATACGTATGTAGTTACGCGCTTTCAAGTATTGGCAGTATAAAATACATTCTTAACTTTAAACGCATGGAGTATTACGTACTCAACAGAAGCAATTTTGAGAGATAGGAAAATTTCTCTTGGCCGCACAATGTTGCAATGCCGTTTTACAAAACGTACTCGTTACCTTCGAGTTCACGCGAGCAAAAAAAGTAACGGACCGGAACATCTATTGGATGCGGATCATAAAGAAAAACATGAAGTCGGGTGGAAGCATTCTTGTTACCAGTTGCGGTCACACGGGAGGCTTACTCTTACGAGATATTTAACATTAATTACATGAAAGATTTATGTAAAAAATACCAGTATAGAGAGAGTGCCTGAAGAGGAATTGCTGCGTGTTTTATCGTAACTTTCTTCGTCATGTCACGCGTAATTGCTCGTTTCTCGCCCTAAACAAAACTCAGCGCAGCCCCTCC